TATATAAAAATTATAAAGAATATGGAGTTTATGATATTTTTAGAGTTTATAAAGATTATAAGAATTATGAAAATTATGGTAATTATGAAAATTATGGAACTTATGAAAATTATGAAAATTATAGGAATTTCTAATCATAACATTTTCCCCTTCTTTAAAAAAATTGAGTTCCACATCAATTATAACCAGTTTTGAACCAATAGGATCAATTGTTCTAATTGTATTTGGTCTAATTGATATAATTCTTTATATAAGGTTACTTTTACTGATAATAATTTTTCTGGGGTATTGGGAAAGGTATGAGAAAGTCATTTTGCTAATTGTAGACATTTTTTCAGTAAACTTGAGTACAGATTTTCAAAATTCCCTTTTATCAATTGAAGTTGATTTATTTTATTGTCCTTTATTTTTCTTAATTCATTTCTTATCTTTTATAAGAGATATAGTTTTTCTCCACTTTTTGCCTATGAGCAAAAATAGTCTTTAAATTTGGTTCACAATTCTTTGATTTTTCTTTTGAATGAATTTTTTGTATGATAAAAATTTATAGTGTTCTTCCTTTTTCTTCTCCATACCTTTTTTAATTATTAATCTATTTCTTTTATTATATTTTTTTTTGTTGTTGAAGAGTTCCTTCTTCATTAATTGTTTCATTGTCATGATATCTTTTGATTATTTCATCTATTTCAATTTCTTCTACTAATGTTTCTTCCATAGGTAGTGTTATGAATCATAATTCGATTGTGAAGGTTACATTTGGAAAGTTTTCCTTCACTTTGTGATCAACTCGTTGACTAATTGCCAAGTTTCTGTTATTTTGTTGATTTCATTTAGTGGTATTAACATTTCGAAGCTTTTAGTTTTTTAATAAGTCATGTTTATTCATTTGTTCAATATTTATTATTTTTAATTTTATTTCTGATAACGTTAGATCTATCAATTTGTTTGATTGGTTTGATTATTATGTGTTTATTTAATTTCTTTCAATATTATGGTTATCATTATTATTTATTTATTTTTTATTTTTATTTTTACTATTTTTCTTTTGTTTATATCATATTAAATCTTTCTTTGAGATGAGAATGAGTATGAATAGTGTGTTTTTGGTAATTTCTTCCTCTTTTTCATTTGAGGATTCATCCTCAAATTTGTTATTTTTATTTTGTTGTTCATAGTAATGTTTGAGTCAATTTCTGTGTGTGAATTTGACATGAACTCCATTTTGATCAGCGAGTTTGTAAGCTCCGTTGTTGAGTTTTTTGTGTATCCAGTAAGATCTGTTCCATTTGGGATCTAATTTTTGGACCATTATTTGTCATTTTTGCTTCTATATACAAGCACTTTGTTTCCAATATTGTATTCTTTGTTTGGTAAGTTTTGGTCGTGGTGTTCTTTTTGTTTTTTCTGAGATTGATTAATGTTTATTTTAGCTTCTAGTCATTTCTCATTTAGTTGATAGATTATTTCAAATGTTCATTAATCCATAGCTTCTTGATAATTATTACTTGTTTGTTCAATATCAGTGAGTAATAGTAAGTCGATAGGTAAGATGACTTTTTGTCTGTAGAGTAGTTCGAAAGGAATAAATTTGGTGGTATTATGTTTTGTGATTCGATAAGCAAATAGTATTGCAGTAATGTGGTTGTCCCAGTATGATTTTGTTTGGATCGAGAGTTTTGATAATGATTCACAAAGTGTCTGGTTGAATCGTTTGACAAGTCCATTCGTCTGGAGATGATAAGGTGAGGATAATATTCTTTTAATGTTCATTCATTCACAAAGAATTTTAATTTTTCATTAATGAAATGTGTTCCTTGATCCGTTAATATTTCTTTAAGGTAACCGTATCAGGAGATAATTTCTTCCTTAATGAATTTTTTAATATTTGCTATATCAGCTTTTCGAATGACTTTAGCTTTGAACCATTTGGTTAAATATTCTACGGCTACTACGATGTATTGATTTTTTTTGCTGTCGTTGGAAGTGGTCAAACTATATCGATTCCTATTCTGTCGAATGGTTTGGTGACTTTGATTGGATTTAGCAATTCTGTTTTTTTGGTCATTCACGTTGTTGGCAGATTTTGCAGATATGAATATATTCTTTTGTATCATTTGTTATTGTTGACCAATAATATCTTTCTTTAATTTTATTAATTGTTATGTTTTGTTCAAAGTGTGCGACAGTTTTGTCTGTATGAAGATGTTGAAGGATAATGTCCTTTTTGTCTTTTAATATGACTTATTTCAGCTTTTCTTCATTTTATTGATGATATAATTTTTTTTCAGTATCAGATAATTATTTTTATACTTTTGTATATATTTTTATTGCTCAGATGATAATTTCACCAATATGGTTTGATCTTTATTATAATTTATCCAATTGTTATATAGGTTTTGTTTCATAGTTTAATGTTGTTGTTTGTTGGGTGTAGGGTGTATTCAGTCATCAGGTCGAATTCTTTTAGAGAGAATCTGAGATAGAGCGTCAATGTTAAAATGTTTACGACCGAATTTGTAGATGACTTTGAAATCGTACTCTTGCAAAGTAGCTATCCATCACATTGTTCTTCTGGTTGGGTTGGATTTGGTTATGAACCACTTCAATTCAACATGGTCAGTTATTAAATCGAATCTTTGTTCTAATAGATATTGTCAAAAATATTTCACTGCCCATACAATGATCAGGCATTTTATTTCATGTGCTGCATAGTTCTGTTCAGCAGGAGACAATCCTCTACTCGCATAGGTGACAGATCATTTCTTTTCTTCTGAGTTCAATTGCAAGAGGATAGCACCTAGTCCAAGTTTTAATGTGTTGGTGACAAGGATAAACTTTTTCTTGTAGTCTGGATATAATAGGACAGGTGCATCAATCAGTTTTTCTTTCAGATTTTGAAATGCCTTCTTATATTCTTTTTTCCATTCGTAGTGTTGATTCTTTTTTAATCATTTGTGTATTGGTTCAATAATGTTGGAGAATCCTTGGATGAAACGTTTGTAGTAGGAGGCTAATCCCAGAAATCCTCGTAGTTTAGTAATATTCATTGATTGGGAAAACTTTTTTACTTTTTCTACTTTGGTCAGATCCAGTTGAATTCCATTCCATGTAATAATATGATCTAGGAATTCGAGTTGTTCCTTATAAAAATAACACTTGTCGATATTAAGGTGTAATCCTACCTCTTGTAATCTTTGAAAGATTTGTTCCAAGTGATCCAGATGGTTTCCGAATGATGGTGAATAAATATTGGTGTCATCAAGATAAATGACGAGGAAAGTTCAAGCAAGATCAGAATAAATTGTATCCATGAGTCGTTGAAAGGTAGTTGGTCCATTGATTACACTGAAGAGCATTATGTTGAATTTGTAAATGTCTTGTTGAGTGGTGAAGGCTGTCTTCTCATGGCTAGCTGGATTCATTTTGACTTGCCAGTAGTCACTTGCCAAATCTAATATGGAGACCCTGTAAAAAAAAATAAAAGACAAAAATCAGGAAAAAATCTGGTTTTTTAGTTCTGGAAAATCACAGGTTTTGTTAACAAATTTCTGGATTAAAATCTGATAAAAATCTGCTTAAAAAT